CTATTTCAAATCCTAAAAGATGATGCTCTGAAAGTGGTGTACTCAATATGCCAGCAAATCTGCAAAACTCAGCAGTGGCCACAGGACTGGAAAAGGTCAGTTTTCATTCCAATCCCTAAGAAAAGCCGTGCCAAAGAATACTCAAACTACCACACAATTGCACTCATTTCACATACTAGCAAAGTAATGCTCAAAATTCTCCAAGCCAGGCTTCAACAATAAGTGAACCGTGAACTTCCAGATGTTCAAGTTGGTTTTAGAAAAGGCAGAGGAACCAGAGATCAAATTGCCAACATCTGCTAGATCACCGAAAAAGCAAGAGAGTTCTAGAAAAACATCTATTTCTGCTTTATTGACCATGCCAAAGCCTTTGACTGTGCGGATCACAACAAACTGTGGAAACTTCTGAAAGAGATGGGAATACCAGACTCACCTGCCTCTTGAGAAATCTGTATGCAGGTCAGGAAGCAACAGTTAGAACTGGACATGGAACAACAGACTGGTTTCAAATCAAGAAAGGAGTACATATATATTGTCATATATATTGTCATCCTGCTTATTTAACTTCTATGCACAGTATATCATGAGAAATGGTGGACTGGAAAAAGCACAAGCTGGAATCAAGATGTACAGAACAGACTTTTGGACTCTGTGGGAGAAGGCGAGGGTGGGATGTTTCGAGAGAACAGCATGTATATTATCTATAGTGAAACAGATCACCAGCCCAGGCTGGATGCATGAGACAAGTGCTCGGGCCTGGTGCACTGGGAAGACCCAGAGGAATCGGGTGGAGAGGGAGGTGGGAGGGGGGATCGGGATGGGGAATACATGTAACCCCATGGCTGATTCATGTCAATGTATGACAAAACCCACTGCAATGTTGTGAAGTAATTAGCCTCCAACTAATAAAAATAAATGAAAAAAAAAAAAGATTGCTGGGAGAAACAGCAATAACCCCAGATAGCAGATACCACCACCCTTAAGGCAGAAAGTGAAGAAGAACTAAAGAGCCTCTTGATGAAACTGAAAGAGGAGAGTGAAAAAGTTGGTTTAAAGCTCAACACTCAGAAAACTAACATCATGGCATCCAGTCCCATCACTTCATGGGAAATAGATGGAGAAACAGTGGAAGACTTTATTTTTTTTTGCTCCAAAACCACTGCAGATGGTGACTGCAGCCACGAAATTAAAAGATGTTTACTCCTTGGGAGAAAAGTTATGACCAACCTATACAGTATATTAAAAAGCAGAGACATTACTTTGCCAACAAAGGTCCATCTAGTCAAGGCTATGGTTTTTCTAGTAGTCATGTATGGATGTGAGAGTTGGACTGTGAAGAAAGCTGAGCACCAAAGAATTGATGCTGCTAAACTATGGTTTTGGAGAAGACTCTTGAGAGTCCCTTGGACTGCAAGGAGATCCAACCAGTCAATCCTAAAGGAAATCAGTCCTGAATATTCATTGAAAGGACTGATGCTGAAGCTGAAACTCCAATACTTTGGCCACCTGATGTGAAGAACTGACTCATCTGAAAAGACCCTGATGCTGGGAAACGTTGAAGGCAGGGGGAGAAGGGGATGACAGAGGATGAAATGGTTGGATGGCATCACTGACTCAATGGACATGAGTTTGAGTAAACTGCAGGAGTTGGTGATGGACAAAGAGGCCTGGCGTGCTGCAGTCCATGGGGTCGCATAGTCGACATGACTGAGCGACTGAACTGAACTGAAATACAAAGTAAACTGTCTAAAAAAAATAAAATAAAACACAGTCCTAAGCTAGCTAAGGCCACTGCTTCATGGAGTTTATAAATTGACAGAGATATCAACAGTTGTATCAGTTTTCTCCCACTTTCCAGGAAGTTTTCAATCGAGTACTTATTTCCTTTAAAAATCAAGAACAACCTTAATTTGGCATTTCTTTAATTACTCAGTTTATCTTTGTTAAAAATAAATTACTCATTGGAAACGCATCACAGAGCAAGTGTGTGGTTCCCTTTACTCGTAGACCTGTTAGATCTGTGGAGAAAACTACACGACCAAGCTGCCAAGTAAACTATGAAAAACCTAACAAACATTTATTACCTTAGGTATTGGCATGTCCCAATGATCTGTACTGCTCTAAGGTGTGGCAATGAAGCTAAAGGGTCAGATTCAGGGGGAAATTTGAAGACGCTATGCTCTGAAGATAAAAGAAGGGCCCACAGACTAAAGAATGTAGGTGTCTCTAGAAGCTGGAAAAGGCAAAGAAACGGACTCTCCTCCAGAGCTTCCAAAGGAAACACACTACCATGGACACATTGATTTTAGGACTTCTGACCCCCCCAACTATAAGATCATAAATTTGTGTGGTCTCAAGTTGCTACACAGCAACAGGAAACCAATTCACCCATCTTTACCAGTAAACTACCTTATCCTCTGATCTCAGGTCAAATGTATTTTTTAAGACTAAACTCTTTCTATTCATTCTCAAACCATCCTTTATATCCATTAGCATTGTTTAACTGTACAATGGTTTATGTGATTGGCTATTTGACTAAAACATTCTTCCTTTAGTAGAATGAGGATGACAAGACTAGGAATCACATCTGATTTTGTGTAACAAAACTCACACAAGCGCGCGTGGACTTTTTTGGCTGCACTGGGTCTTCGTTGCAGCATGTGGGACCTTTAGTTGCGGCATGCTAAGTCTTGGTTGAGGCATGTGGGATCTAGCTCTAACCCGGGCCCCCTGCATTGGGAGCACAGAGTCTGAGCCACTGAACCACCAGAGGAGTCTCCCCATTTTTTCTTTTAACTTCAGCAAATATTTAAAGAATTACCCACTGGCCTCTACCAAATCAGTAATGCCTTCTGACAGGTAACCTGTGGAGGGTCTTTTTTTCAACCACCTTGCCCAGCACGGAGTGAGTCCTTCATCTGAAGATACGTGTGTTTCTTCAAAGAAATTTTCTTCTACTGTTTATTTGATTATTTCTCCCACTTACTCTCTTTGTTCTCTTTCTCAAATTCCTATTAGATAAATTTCAGAATGTTTGTCTGTCTGAACTCTTCGTATCCTTTATGCTGCATTCTAGAAGAACTCCACAGTCAGCTCAATCTTTCTGATCACTAAATTGATCTTTAGCTATATCCATCCTTACAACATGGAAACTTAAAATACAAATATCAAAAGAAAAACACAAAGATGTCTAACTGATCCTTTTATAAATAGTCACTTACGAGCTTCCACTTCTAATCCCTCTGAAAATATGTCTTGATATTATAGTCTGCTTGCTCTGTGAGTCACTAAGTCATTCATGATGTTGGTTTTCTTAAATAGCTGGGAACCCAAGGTATACAAGATGGCCTTTGGCCCGTCTGTGCTTGCTGTGCCGGTCTACTGCGGTCTGCCTCTGTAAATCTGCGGGAGGGTGGGTGGGTGTGAGAATCCCTTTCTTGAGGGGGTCAGTAGCTGCCTTGGCCACTCTTCCCCCTTCTTACCCTTAGAAGGATGAGCTGGTCTGAGTGGTGTTCCTTAATCAGCCTGACCTGGGAAGACCCGAATTGTAAGCAAAAAGCAGTTTTCTTTGATCTGAAACAACTGATGCTCCTGGGAACTTCTCTGGCAGTCTAGTGGTTAAGACTCTGTGCTTTCAACGCATGGGGAGAAGGTTCAGTCCCATATGCCAAGTGGTGTGGCCAAAAAATTTAAAAATTTAAAAAAAAAAAGGGGCTCACTGGGGAGTCCACAAAACAAAATTAATTAAAATAAATAAATAAACTGAAGTTCTTTATGTACAGTGCCTAGATAGGTTCTAGGGCTCCACCAAACCCCAGAAATTACATATAAAATTACTCTTCTAGTAGCATGTTTCTAAGTAGAAGGTTAATAGATTTCTTAAAATAACTAAAGGGTTCTATTACTTTAAAAATATTAAGAACCATTGCCTAAAGATTTAGGAAGAAAGATTTTTAAAGAAAATCTGCAGGTTTTCTTGGTTGTTTTTCCTCACGTTGTCTGCTTTTTCTATCTTTAGAAAACAGTTTCAGCTTAATAAGAATGTTAACTACTGAGAGGCTGGTTAACTAAGATTTTATTATATTTATGATGAAAAAATCTTTAACAAATGGGATAGAAAAAGCAACTTCAAAAAAGAGAGAATGTCACATTCATGAAACAAGAAGAACTGACTTTAAAAGAACCTATACAAGATCTTGGAGGTTTTAAACGACTTTAAAAATACTTCTACTTTTTTTTAATTTGATTCTTATTAATAAATAAACAGTCTAAAACAACAAATGCATGAAATGGCTACAGAATCTTACCCAGATGGTGATTTTTTAAAAGTAAACTAAAACTTTTATTAAAGTTCTATTAGTAAGCATATTGAATGCTACAAGATTCACAAACGGCTCTTTTGCATGAGGATGCTGGTATAAATTAATTTTATTTATATAATATACAAATACTTAATTTGCTTGTAACTATTTAAATTGAGACTATTCAACTAAGAGTACTAATGTGCATTTTTCTTTTTTTCCTCTTGTTTTTAAATTATTTTTTAAGTAGATAAATTAAGATTTTTAGTTGGAGTTGCAATATCAAACTCTCAGAAATTAATAGAATGAAGAGACAGAAATGTAGAAGGATATAGTAGACCTGAAAAGCACCATGAACCAATTGAACATAATTAAGATTTATACAATTTTCACATACCAGTAGGATACAAATTCAAGTTCCCATAGACTATAAACTAGGAGACACTGGAACATATCCAGGGATAAAAAGCAATTTTTTGGTCTAAAGGTATTGAAATCATACAGAGTGTGTTCTTATCACTGTGAAATCAGTATCAAAAGATATTTGAAAATAACCTGCATATCTCCAAGTGCAATGTGACATTCACAAAGAGATATTTGACTTAGCCACTGAAAGCCTCAGTAAAGTTAATACCACATAATACTCCAAGACACAATTCAGATCAGCAATGCAACTACAATAGGAAACAAAACAAATACCTCCTGTTCGTCCATTTCCAATCTGTACGGCAGGTTGAAGGCTTCCTTCATTTTGCAGTAAATGAGGCAAATGATGATAAACACTTGGCACCTGAAGAGACTTTCTGCTTGTTAACTCCTTTAATATCTTTAGAGTATCATCTGAAACACAGAAGGATAATCATTCCATGGTAATACCTTACTTTTAGATGTTACAGATGCTACCAAGACAGCAGTAAAAATGTATGAAAACTAAAAGAATTTTCTCTCCTAAATTTTTCTCTCATACTGTGGTGAGTGAGATTTCCATGGACACTTGCAATCAGAGTCTCACAGAGTCATGATGTTGAGAACAGTCTAAATAAAGCTAAATATGTGAGCTAAAGTTCTATGTGAAGGTAGGACATGAACTCCTCATCTTTGTAATATGTCAGAACTCGAGCACAAGGGGACAGACTTTAAACAAGTGACCCATTCATGAAAATGTAATAATAACAAATACAAAACCCACCAGTAGCTTCCACTTTTTTATGCTACTACACTTGCCCAAAATTTCACATAGAAGATTTTTATTTTAATTTCAAGTACAATAATTTAAACAACACAAGTTGAGTATCTTTGGTACAGTTCATAACTTTCAAATCATTTTTTAGTTTTTATGAGAGGAACCAATGAACCATTTAATATAATATAAAAATAAAACCTTGACAGGATAAGGAATATCGTTTCAAATTTCACTGAACTAGAACTTAACTTTTGACATAGGAAGTAAGCAGTAAGGACTGGTAACCTCGACAATAATTTCATATAGAACAATATGAAAACTCCATTTAAAAAAAAAGAAAAAAAGAAAACTCCATTAAAATATTCCAAAAATTCAGAACCAAAAATTCATAGAAGAAATGCAAAAGGACTATCATACATGAAATTCAAGTTTAATCTTATGTTAAAGCAATAACCTACAAATTATAAGACAACAATATTCACCTTCAAATTAAATTAGCAGATTAAATAATATATTAAATTGTGGTGATAATATAATGTTTCAGCTATTCAGAACAGCATCAAAAACCCTAAAACATTTCATCCTATTGTTCAGTGATTTCCCTTTTAGGAATTTAACTTTTATGCATTCAAAGCACCCATTGTAAAACTATGTCTTTTTTATTTCTTGTAAGTCATATTTAAAAGCACTAATTGCTTCAAATAGCGCAGACTCCCCGGAGTTCATCTGAAGTCCATACAAGTCACAAAGAGAAACAATCATAAACACCAAGTTAAATTTTAGCCTCTTATTGTATGTTTTTAAAACATGCTGTTTCTTCACTATTGTCAATGAAACGTATATAACTGAAATTTAACTGAATATTACTCTCTTTAAATCAAATTTAGCAATTAATAAAATTGTTTTATAATTAGCAACAACAGAAAGAGCTTGGCATGGTGATTTTTCTGTGTAGAGGTTAACAAATGCTGGCTGATAAGCAACTGTAGACAGCTTTCAAAGAGAATAGTTCACATAACTCTCTGAAAATACAATCTTTCCATAAAACAGAAAACAGTGCCTGTACCTGAAAACTTATTCACTGTGTCCTTACTTCTGTTTGTTTCTGCTTCTACGCGCTTGAACTGCTGTACAATGGCGCTGAGCTCAGAAGAGCGCTGAGAGATTCTATGTTCAGCTATTCGGAGACGTTCTTTCAGAGCAAGAAATTCTCGTTGATAAGCAATCACTTTTTCTAAAAACAAAACTAGTTGTTAATGGTGCATTTCTTAAAAAGACATAAAAATGCCATTATAATCAAAACTGAACCATAACATCAGAAATTCTAAAGCTGCATTTTTCAGAAACAGATAACTCATTTTTTAATTCAGTGAGACAGAACTGAAAATAAAAAAGTCTGAACTAAGAAAGTGGTGACAAAGCCACCAGTAACACAGTGCTATCAATATCTGTAAGAAGGTGAGCACTTTTTAATTAGCACTTTGGAAAGTTAAAAATAGGGAGAAAAAGACAACGTTTTTGGAACTAACATTTCAAGCATGATACCAACATCATTTCTTAAAAGGTACAGACAACTGTAAAGACTCTATTTGTATGAAAGTAGAGATGAATCATTGAAACTGATGATAATATATCTAATAATATAATGAATATAACATTTATAGCATAACCATCCATTTCCATAAGCTGTTTCTTCTGTACTTTCTATTCTGCAAAAATTCCCCCAGGCCAGACTTGGGTCAAATACCTAATGCCTAACAAATCACTCAGATAGATGTAAGAGGACAACAGAGTCAATTATCTTGGGGACTTCCCTGGTGGTCCAGTGGCTAAGACTCCGCTCTCCTCATGCAGAGGGCCTGGGTTTGATCCCTGGTCGGGGAACTAGATCCCACATGCTGCAACTAAGAGGTGTAGCCAAAAACATAAATACAATTTTTTTAAAAGTCAGTAACTTGAATTTGAGACAATCCCATGCTAGGAAAGCCTACTCTGGGAAATACAAGGGGATAAATGTAGACACTGAAATAATAGAACAAGAGAGCTCAAATATGATGTACCCCATGTACAGAGGCCCCAGGACAGAACTGGACACCAAAATCTGAGAGACTGCAGAAAAGAAACCATGCATTTATCTTGATCAGCAGCACTGAAAGGGAGCTGAGGCTGGTGAAGCAATTTCCACAACCTTATTAAACAAGAGAAATCAGAACGGTTTTTGCATCTCTATCAAGCTAACAGATAATCTTAGATAATCTAAGGCAACTACTAATTTGACATCTAAAGGAAACAAATCTTGGAAAGACTGCTTTTAATTAATATTGTAATCTCAGTTTTGCTTAAGGATGGACTCAGTAAGAACAGAATTAAGGAACAGAAAGCTGCCTGTTTCATAAAGCTAGTCTTAAAACCTGTCAGTTGCCTTATTCCTTGTCCCCTACATAAAGGACCACACAGTAAATATCGCCTAAGAACCTGGGGCAGATAATAAGGTCTCCTTGCTTAACTGTCATGTTTCCTTGTATTGAACAATGTAAACAGCTTTACTTTACCTGCTGGCTGTGGGAGGGAAGGAAGGAGGCAGGAGCTGTGATTAGGAAAGGGTATATGGGGAGTCTCAAGGTGCCAACAAGGCCCTAGTCATTGGGCCTGGCTAGCGGTTACATAAAATTCATTACCATACATTCATGGTCTAGGTACTTTTCCATACATGTACATTCACAACAAAAGAAATGTTATACAAATACTATTCACAAACACAAAACTGTTAACAATTATACTGTAAGAGGCACTCAACAGTTATGTGATAAAAAACTATATGCCTAAAATATTAAATTTTAAAAAAATCTATAAGCCTTTTCCTAGAGCCTGTAATGAAAGAAAAAAAAATTAACTCAGTTATTAATTCTAAATGGGAAAACCCAATCTTGCAAAAAATAAAAAAAGATAAACTCTAACCTAAGCTAAATAATAAATGCAACGCCTTTCAAACTAGCAAAAAAATTTTGGACCTTCACTTCTGACACGTCAATTAAGTAAAAGAATGTTTTTAAAAGTTCAAAAACAGATCACCAGCCCAGGTTGGATGCATGAGACAAGTGCTCGGGCCTGGTGCACTGGGAAGACCCAGAGGGATCGGGTGGAGAGGGAGATGGGAGGGGGGACCGGGATGGGGAATACATGTAAATCCATGGCTGATTCATGTCAATGTATGACAAAAACCACAGCAATGATGTAAAGTAATTAGCCTCCAGCTAATAAAAATAAATGAAAAAATAAATAAATAAATAAAAGTTCAAAAAATCTAGACGAAGTAACAAGGAACTCACTCTGAGATCAGAATAGACTATATGGCTCTAGAAATGAAAACCATGGTGACTGCCAGGCGCAGGCAGTGGGGACAAAGGCTGACCACACCAAACAGGCTGCGTCCAAAGTTAGCAGGCGCCAACTATCCTGTGAGCTCTCCCTCTTTACCTCTTACCCCCACAAGGCGCCAAGACAGTGGCTTCTAGACACCCGCCACTAATAAAGCATTAGAACCCGTGGAAGAAATAACTTTAAGGTGAACTTGGAGCACCCTTGGGTCAAGTAAGAAAATGTTATTTTTTTTAAAAAGCAGGCCAAGGGACTTCCCTGGTGGTCCAGTGGTTAAGACTCTGCACTTTCAATGCAGGGGGTTTGATCCTTGGTTGGAGAACTAAGATCTCACATGCTCTGAAGCATGGCCAAATAAATAAACAAAGAATATACTTCAATTTAAAAAACAAGACAGGGTATGTCAAAAGGACACAGGAAGCCCCCTGAGGGGCTCTCACTGGCCAAATCCAGGGCAACTGAAGTATCAAAACAAGTATTGATGGCAATCACTTTTAACTTACTAAATAAAGGAAGAATCTATAAGTCCATTTCAATAAATAACAATTAACAGAGGACAGAAGAGTGTTTCTTACAGTGGAATGCCAGCTTACAAATTATGAAAAAAGGACGAATGTTAGAAAATCATCCCTTTGCAACTGTCCAAGCAATAACAGATTTGAGTGACAATCAAACATGGATGCAAGACAGAGAAAGACAAACACTGTATGATACAACTAAATACAAGTGACAATCCTGGATGGGGTCTGGAACAGAAAAAAAATAATAAACGCTATAAAGAACATTACTGGGACAAACTAACAGAAGACAGACTACAGGGACTTCCCCAGTAGTCCAGTGACTTAAGACTTCACCTTGCAATGCAGGGGACTCAGGTTCCATCTCTGGTTAGGGAACTAAGATCCCACATGTGTCATGGTGTGGCAAAAAGATTTTTTTTTTTTTAAATAAGACTACAGAGTATGCAACATGGTGCATAAATTTTTAAAACTTGACACCTGACTGTCGTAAAGTAAGAGAATTCCCTGTTCTTAGGAAATAAAAGTATTCAGGAGTAAAAAGGCATGATTTCTGTAATGTACTTTAACCTGGTTCTGAAAAGAAACAAGTTTCTACAGATAGATAAAACAATAAGAGGCAACGTGTTCATGATACATAAAAGGCATAGAGAAGTTATAACTTCATCTTAGTTGAAACTTTTTAAAAATAAGAAGATTTTTAAAAGTAAGCAGGAGGATGGGATGGCACACAGGTTTGGTCTTTCAGCAGCTCTTTTGTGGTAGGAGGGATGTGGGCCCGAGGCCAGTCTCTGCCCTACATGCCTGTCTTGGTACTTTTGGAAACTACCTTCCCAGAGGTCAGCCTCACTGGCTGGCAGACCAGCCAGTGCCAGCAGAAAAAAAAGCCCACTCCAAATTCCAATCTGCCTCCCCTACTTTGAGGTGAAGTGGCCATGCTTTTGAAAAGATGTCTTGGGTTGAGAGTCACACATATTTTCTTTCAGATTCAGATGCTACGGCTACTGTCACTCCACAGCATATAGCTATGAAAGTGCTCAAAATGGGTCATTTCCCATCTCATTCCCATTTGCTTCTAACTCCACCCTTTCATATTAAAAGTGTTCTCTCTTGGGAGTTTGGGATTAGCCGATACAAACTATTATAGAGAATGGATAAGCAATAAGGTCCTACTGTAGAGCAGAGGGACTTCTATTCAATATCCTGTGATAAACTATAATGAAAAAGAATACTAAACAGGAAAGTGTATGTGTATATATATATATATATGTATATGTATGTATGTATAACTAAATCAGTTTGCTGTACACTGAAACACAACACTGTAAATCAACTACACTTTAATAAAATAAAATTTAAAAAGTGTTCTCTCCATGACATCAGAGCAAGTCTACACTACCTAGGTCAAGACTTTGTGCAGTAAAGGTCTCAGCTAGTCCTGCTTGGAATTCCAAGGGACACCACTGACTCTTGTAATCAGGGAACGTTACACATGGTTTTCCTACAATCATCCCTCCCAGGGTATCCGCCACTGTCCACCCAAACATAGCACTACCAGTGACTTCCAGTATTTTCTCCATGTGTATTTTCCATAGTACCACCTTACTCTCTTGGGGAGAGTGGCTTACCAGGTCTCAGAAAAAGTTCAAATTCTATCATAATAGGCGAAAAACTCCACAAAATTAGTGATATGTATTTGACAATGTCCTATTTTTAATGTTACTGACAAAATTTTTATTTTTGTATTTCTTTGAATCATTTCAATCAGTTTCTATAGGAGAACCTAGCAGGAAACCATGAGGGAACTTTTTTACACAACCTTACTGAAAATCCCTGGTTTTGGTCACTGGTTTGTTTTTATTGAAGACTGAATCTAGCTTTTTTTTTTTCTTAATTGTAGAAAAGCACATACCCACATTAGACATTAAAACTATAAATCACATTCTGTGAACCTAAGAATCTGAAACATACAAAATTTCTAAAGAAACCACTTTCATTTCTTCAAATCAGTAAACAAGTCAGTTCTCCAATGAAAAGAGTACCTTTAGGTTTTCAAATTACTAGCTGAACCATATGAAACTGCTGGTATTTGAACATTTTTGACCAAAAAAAATGGTAATTTCATACAGTTCAACAATAGCTTCAGACTCAACAATTTAATTTGAAAATTTATAAATAGTACAGATGAAAAATTAACACAAAGAAGCACTAATAAGTAATACCCAATATGTAGTACATAAAAGTCAAACAAAAAATATTTTTTTCATTGTTATCAGCAAGATGTTGGGTGGTAGTACTTAATTCTATGAGCTAACATTTAAAAACTGGCTTTTTATGT